AACCCTGTTTTACTTTTTTCCAAATTACATTATTAAAATCTTACGTTTTGGCGTTAGTGTCGTAGCTTCGCCAACACAACCCACAATTGGATAACAATATGGACCGGGAATGTGATCGGTAAGTTTACGCCGATATTTCGTTGAGATATGAATATGAAATGCCCAGACACAAATTAATATAAACAGTACAAGTAAAACAACCGCGAAGTACACCATCTCAGCGACGAATGTAAACTGAGCGGTCGAAATGATTTCACAAAGTAAGTCGACAGATTTTTCCGACCAGTATATTGGAGAGAATTTTTCTAACGAGAGTTGCTCAATAGATTGCTTATTAAGCTTAGTTCGAATGATAATAAAAATCTCAATATTATCGGTTGTAAAACATTCAGGTTGCTCAACTTTTGTTTTACTTTTTTTCTAGCCGTTAAATCAAACAAAGTTACAGACAAAGAAATTATATACTTTGTATGAATTTATTTGACTTAGGCAATGCAAGCAAAGTGCAGTTGCTTGTTTCGTAGGCAAGTCTGAGAACATAATCATAGATACTTAAGAGAGAATAAGTGTTGCATTTCTTGTGCAATTGTATGATGCAATTGAAACCCCACTGCAATATAAAGTCATGTTAGTGGAAGACATTATTATTAATGCTGCTTATTGACTTGGAATTATATAAAACAGGGATGTGATTAGTAATACCACTACTATCGGCATTTCAATTCAAAGCTTTTGGTAGACGTTATTATTGACAATATGTAGTGAAATAATCCGAAAATGCATAATTTTTTATTAGATTAATAATTTACGTTATAACTCTCACAAGTTTTATATTAGTCATATGCCACACCTAAAATAATTTTATACAGGCGATTGATACAGGGGGTATTTATTATTTGATACAACCAAATAAGTAACATCCTTTTGGCACCCCTCTCATAAAGGTTCAAAGTTTTCACAAAAATTTCCAGTGACAATTTTCAGACAATTCCGTTGAAAAATGTAGCTAAAATCATCAAAATACCGAATATCGGGGGGTACCGTCATATGGGGGCTATACGATATCGTGGACCGATATAGCCGTTCTTCGAACTTGTTCTGCAGGCAGGACAGATGTGTGCAAAATTTTAGGTTCTTATCTTAACTCGTATGACTGTAGCATGATTGCAACAGACGGATGGACGGGGCTAAATCGTCTCAGAATTTTACGATGATCAAGAATATATATACTTTAATAAGTTACAAACGAAATAATTTAATATACCCTCCATACCATATGGTGGGGGGTATATAATTTGAAATATTTTCAAATTTTTTGGCAGCGTTGATGCAAATCATGGTACAATAAGCAGGTAGAACAGCTTCGTAAAACTACAGAAATACAGCACTGAGGCTATGTCCGCTTCCTGTCAGACAAGTTGTTTTCATTTATTATTTATTTTATTCCGTGGTAAATCTTGTAAATATCAATAATGCGCGCCCCGCAATTTAAGTTTCTTCCAATTCTTTATTTTGAAAATATTTGTTTATTTTTCAAAACAATAAGTACATACACAAAATTGGCAGAAGTCGGGATCACTTAGAAACAAAGTGGTAGCTCTACCTTACCTTTTGTACCCTCCACCAAAAAAGGTATGGAGGGTATATTAAGTTCGTCATTCCGTTTGTAACACATCGAAATAATCATTTTAGACCCAATATATAAGTATATATATTCTTGATCAGCGTAAAATTCTAAGACGATTTAGCCCTGTCCGTCCGTCTGTTGTAATCACGCTACAGTCTAAACGAATTAAGATAGGAAGCTAAAATTTTACACAGATCTCTCTTTTGTCTGCAGGCAGGTCAAGTTCGAAGATGGGCTACATCGGTCCACGATATCGTATAGCCCCCATATAACGGTACCCCCGATATCCGGTATTTTGATGATTTTAGCCACATTTTTCAATGGAATTGTCTGAAAATTCACACAAGTAGTTCCTTGTGAGTACTTTACCCCCTGAGAGAGAATTGTCTATATAGGTCCACAATATCGTATAGCCCTCATATAACGGTACCCCCGATATTCGGTATTTTGATGTTTTTAGCCATATTTTTCAACGGAATGGTCACAAGGGGTTCTTTGTGAGCACTTTACCCCCCGACAGAGAATTCTCTATATAGGTTAACGATAATGTATGGCTCCCATATAACGATACCTCGCGATATTCGGTATTTTGAAAATCCACACAAGGAGTTCCTTGTGAGTACTGTACACGCAGACATGGATTTGTCTTTATAGGTCCACAATATCGTATATCCCCACATATCGGCACCTTCTTATATTAGATACTAGCTGGCCCGGTCCGCGTTGCCGGACCCCCTTTATAATCCAAGATGACAAATAGTAGCCAAATCGAAAATATAGCAGAACATCATAGCATGACCTCATAATTGAGGTCAGACTGATTTCAGAATAGTCAAATATAATTACTATTTTACACCCATTACCGTAATATGGGAACGAATTTTATTTGTCATTTAAATTGTAAATTGGAGACCCCATAAAGTCCATATTTTTCATCATAGTATAATTCAATGACGATTCAACAAATATTCGGTCCCGTGCTACTTTCTTATATTTGTAATTTGTTCATGTTTTCACAATTTATTTCATATAGATGTATATCCCAAATCTACGTTCCCAACCAATATTCTCTTGGGGGTTACAAATTCAATAGAATACAAATTATTCTTTTCTGACCACACATTAGATGTGAAAGTGGGCTTAGGGATACTCCAATGTGGGGACTTTACATGAATAAATTTCTATGTGGCAATTATCTGTACGATGGTTCCTTACCCCAGGGTAGCATAAATACAATTTTTTAGTGGTCAAGACCAATATGGGCCCTACTCCGAAAATTTTATGCGAAGAGGTTCTCTACCCCCTTAGAAACAAAGATGCCAAATAAGGGCCAAAAATAGAAGAAAGTGGCGAAGACTCCAAAAATGGCTTAAATCATACGATGATTATTTATGATCGATATCATGACCTGTAAATGCGATTTAAATGTTCAGGAAGAATTTTTGGAAGGATAGAAATCCTTTTCTTACTAAAAGTCCCATTCGCTCTACTATTTTGCATCCTTTATATTTGGTATTTTACTGATTGTACTCCCAAATATTATTGCATTTCGAGCTCCCATTGGACGGATTATTGTCACATGAAAGAAGTAGGGCCACGCTTTGAAATAAGACCCATTAGTTTTTTCGGTCATTGTTGTTTGTTTAAATGTCTGCGCATCTTCCAGCTGAAGCACGATGTAGGCCCTGGAGTTGAAAGGTAGATGTCAGTTACCATCGTATTTCGCACTTATTTCATTTTTTTGGTGAAAAATTGTATATAGTGAAACATTATTCTTTATTTTGTTCACAAAAAATCCACTGAATTCAATATGATATTACAAATTGAAAAAAAAAATTGACAAAAGAAGAATAACAAATTGAAAAAATCTTCAACTTGTTCGCTGATTTTCAACAGCAACTGTTTAAAGATCCTTACAAAGTTTGTCAATAGAATGTACTTTTATTTTAAAATTCAATTCCATTGGACATTTTTTTCGATATTTTCCCGTTTTGAGAAATGTTGCAATGAGATCTCTTTTTTCGTGATTTTTTTAACGATTTTGAAAAAGTTAAAAGATAATCTTTTAACTTTGGTGTGACCGCATTAAATTATTTCGGTATCATCTATTCCGTTTCGCCACCACATAATTTGGTACTACACTTCCATGTAACCCGCCATCAATTTCAGTTCCCAAGAAATCAAGTCAATTAAATAAATTGGTATTAATATTCGAATTCAAAAATAAAATATAAAAAACACTACAAATGTACATTAGAAAAAAGTAAGTCAAAATGGAAAAAATCATGCAAAATAAAACATTACTATTGTACATTTCAAAAGTCAAAATGAAAATGTTAACATATCACATTTTTACGCGATTTTTTTGGATATTATCCTTTTCGGATGAGAGACAACTCCGAATTTGTATGAATCACTACAATCAGTTCAGCGGTTCTTAAGTTATAAGCGTAGTAACTAACACAACTTACATTTATATATATAGATTTTAAAGATTTTAAAAGAATTTTTAATGGATTTTATTTTTTTTTTTTGAAAATTTTCTAATTCGTTCCAAATGGTGGGGGGTATTTAAAGTTCGGCCCGGCCGAACTTACTGCTTTTTTACTTGTTTATTGTACCATGGATGCAAATATCATTATACTCTCCACCATACTATGGAGGGTATATTAAATTTGTCATTCCGTTTGTAACTCCTCGAAAGACTCATGTCAGACCCAACTAAGTATATATATTCTTGATCAGCGTAAAATTCTAAGTCGATTTAGCGATGTCCGTCTGTCTGTTGTAATCACGCTATCTTTCGAACGAACTAAGATAGAAGGCTAACCTTATGCACATGTTTATTTTGTCAGTTGGCAGGTTAAGTTCGTAAATGGGTCATGTAGGTCCAAGTTTTTATATAGCCCCTATATAACGGTACCTCCCGATATTCGGCATTTTGATGGTTTTGGCGACATTATTCACCGGAATTGTTTCAAATTTGATATTTGAAGTTCGAAATGGATACTACACCCTAAGACAGAAAATGGTCTGTGCAGGTCCACGTTTTCCTATAGCCCCCAAATAAAAGAACCTCCCTATGTTCGGTATTTTGATGATTTTAGCGACAGTTTTCATGGGAATTTTTTCAAATTTGGCATTTGAAGTTCGTAATGGATGCTACAGCCTGTGACAGAAAATTGTCTACGCAGGTCGAGGTCTTCGTATAGCTCCGATATAACGGTACCTCCCTATATACGGTATTTTGATGATTTTAGCTACATTATTCACCGTTTATTTCAAGTTTCGAATTTGAATGTGGTAATGACTTACAACAAACAATTTCTGTAGGTCCACGTCGTATAGACCCCAATATAACGGCTATATTCGGTATTTTTAAGATCTTAACAGAATTGTTAATGGCTTTTATTTTTTTAAAAATTGGCAAATTCGTTCGAAATGGTGGATGGTATTCAAAGTTCGGCCCGGCCTGCTTTTTTTTAGTTTATGATGGAAGTGTGTAGAATATTTTGTCTTTAATGTCAACCTTCTAAAACGATTTTTTGTAGGTGATTTTTGTATGAACTAGCATGAAGTACGGCTCCAAACTTAAAATAAATAAAAATAATTACGAATTTCTGGGGTTTGAGTAAGATTTAGACCTTTGATATTCTGAGGCTTATAATAGAATTTTATGACAAATAATTTTGTATTTTTTTATTTATTACTCTTATATTCTATATGAAACTATATGTGGGCAAATTTTGTTTTACTGTTTCTTTTATAATATTTATACCGACCGTACTAAAACAAACATTTGTAATTTTCACTCTTAAAAATACTATCAACACAAAAACCTTTTTTTGTTTGTCGCATTTATATAAAAATAAAACATTACACAACGTATTTCATGCAGCAGATCTCCTCCTCATGCCAAGTTGCATACCATTTTCGGAACGTAGCAGAATTCCCAATATGGGCTCAACATCATCTCCCAGTGGCAATAACTCATATTCGCGTAAAATTTTACACAAGGCAACTTTAATTTCAAGCATTGCAAATCGTTGGCCGATGCAATTTCGTGGACCAGCACTAAATGGAACAAATATGAATGGGCTGTTAAGGGAAGATTCTCTGTGCCGATCTGGTATAAATTCCGAGGGTCTATCGTAAATTGAAGGCGCTCGAAGAGCATTGAAAATTGAAACTATGAACTGGGTCGAAGCTGGAATAATGCCATCGCCTAAGACCGGGTGACCTAAATTAAGAAAAATAAATAATTAATTAATTTATGAATAAATAAACAATAAACGAAATAAATAAAGAAACTAATAAAAAGAAAAATAAGGTGTAAAGGTATAAGAAACAAATAAGAAAGTGAAAGTATTTAATTAATGATATATGAGTATATAAATAAAAAAAAAACAGTGAGGAAAGCTCAAAAGTCGGGCGGGGCCGACTATATGATACCCCACACCACTATGCATATTTAGTAGAGCTCTCGTAAAAAGGTTTATACAGGGCATTTCAGAGCTCTATGAGATATTTGGTACAAAATCAAAATCTATCTAATTCTATCGTGCATTTTACGAACTATAGCTATCTCTGAACCGGGTTTCTCCAAATTTTACGTATTCTTCTTCTTCTTCTAGACTGGTGATTTGGGCTGATATTGACCATTTTGTGCACATTTAACCCGAAATCGGATGAAGATATATATGAGAGCTATATCCAAATCTGAACCGATTTCGATAAAATTTAAAACAGCTATTCCTGTGCTCCATCTAATACCTGGTACCAAATATCACGGTTGTGGAGTGAATATTACGAATGTATGGGACTAAAATTCTAAATCGGATGAAACATATATATGGTTGCTATATTTATATCTGAACCGATTTTCACTAAATTTGATATACTTGTATCTAGGCTGAATTTGGTCCGATGTACTAAAATTCAGTCCATTTGGACTTATATCGGCCATTTGGTGCACAATTAACCCGAAATCGGATGAAGATATATATGGGAGCTATATCCAAATCTGAACCGATTTCGATAAAATTACAAACATCTATTTCTGGGCTGCATCTTATATCTGGTACCAAATATCATTATTGTGGAGTGCATATTACGAATGTGAGAGGCTTAAACACCAAATCGGATGAAAGATATATATGGGAGCTATAGCTATATCTGAACCGATTTTCTCCAAATTTGATATACTTGCTTCTAGGCCGAACTCGGTTGGGTGTGCCAAAATTCAGGTAATTTAGACTGATAGTGGATGAAGATATATATGGGAGCTATAGCTGTTTCTGAACCGATTTTCTCCAAATTTGTTGTATTTGCTTTAAGGCTAATCTCGGTCACATGTGCCAAAATTCGGGCCATTTGGGCTGATATTGGTCATTTGGTGGTCAATTAACCCGAAATCGGATGAAGATATATGGGAGCTATATCCAAATCTGAACCGATTTCAATAAAATTTAAAACAGCTATTTCTGTGCTCCATCTAATACCTGGTACCAAATATCACGGTTGTGGAGTGCATAGTAGGAATGTGAGGAGCTTAAAGATCAAATCGGATGAAAGATATATATGGGAGCTATAGCTATATCTGAACCGATTTTCTCCAAATTTGATATACTTGCTTCTAGGCCGAACTCGGTTGGGTGTGCCAAAATTCAGGTAATTTAGACTGATAGTGGATATTTGGTGCACATTTAACCCGAAATCGGATGAAGATATATATGGGAGCTATATCTAAATTTGATCCGATTCTCACCAATTTCAATAGGGTTCGTCCTTGGGCCAAAAAAATATTGTTTGGAAAATTTCATCTCAATCGGATAATAAATGCGACCTGCATTTTGTTCACAAGAATACATGGACAGACGGACGGACGGACGGACATGCATAAATCGACTCAGAAAGTGATTCTATGAAGGTTCTCAAAAGTAACTATGGGTCTATCTCGTTTCCTTCTCCATGTTACAAACAAATGCACAAAGACATAATACCCTTACCACTATGTGGTGTAGGGTATAATAAAAATAACTAAATCAACAAATGCGTTAATAAATCAGGAAAAATAAATAAAGTTAACGAAGAAATAATTAATTTATGAGTAAAAAAATAGCGAAAAGAAGGAAAAGTTCGAAAAGTTCGGCCGGGCCGAACTTTAAATACCCTCCACCATTTGGAAGGAATCAGGAAATTTTCAAAAAGAAAATTATTAAAAATTCTGTTAAAATTTGAAAAATACCGAATATCGGAAGGTACATCGTGGACCTATATAGACAAATCTCACAAAGAACTCCTTGTGCAGAATTCTGTTAAAAAAGGTGGCTAAAATCATAAAAATACCAAATATCGGGGGGTACCGTTATATGGGGGCTATACGATATCATGGTCCTATATAGAACATTTTCGAATTTGACCTTTGTTGGGTCTAAAATTATTATTTCGATGAGTTACACACGGAATGGCGAACTTAATATACCCTCCATACTATGTATGGTGGAGGGTACAAAAATGCATGAGCTTCACGGATTTTCAAAATTTGGACTCTGTTTGGGGGAGGAACCAGAAGGAGTGGGCCGATATATCCCATCTTCACTGCAGATTTTGTGTTAATGGAAATAATGTGATGTGTGAATTATGAAGAGAACCGAAAGCATATTTCGGATTTCATAATCCTTTTGGTTACTCAAAACATTAACCGTTTGTGGAGGAGGTACCATAAGGAATGATCCGATCTTCACCATCATATAAAATTTTGTGTTGATGGAAATATTGAGATTTGTCAAGTCTGAATGGAATCGGATGTTAATTTCGCATTTTATGGGCTTCACGGATTTTCAAAATTTTGACCCTGTGTGGAGGAGGCACCAGAAGGAGTGAACTGATATATTCCATCTTCAGAATTTGGAGGCAATCGGACTCTTATGACATATTATTTAGGGGTTATAATTGTTTAAAAATTTTTTACGCTTTGTGGGGAGGTACTTGATGGAATGGCATTGACCTAGCACTTATGCAAATATTTGGATTTGCAAAGTTGGAGCAATATCAGATTATTCTTTCTCTTTCTGTGCAGAAATTGTTTTTTTTTTTTTTTTTTTTTGTTTTTAAGTTCAACCTTTTGTGTGGGAAGTACCAGAAGGCGTGTAGCGATATTTTCCATCTCCAAACTCGATCTACTAATAATAATATTACGATGTAATCCATTTTGGACCAAATCGGATACTTCCTTTGGACATTTATCGTGCACACCAGCCAACCAGACATACAGACGGACGGAAATCTCTAGATCGACTCTACATGTCCTGAAACGGATGTGGTCCAAAGAGATCTAGGGTCTAAAACCGTTATTTCGATAAGACACGTTTCAAATGATATATCCCCTTTTTAGCCATATGGCTGAGGATATAATAATCATTAAAATTTTGGAAATATTTTTCAAATCATTGAATTCTTACTGTAGCGAAAATCTTCTGTAATTTCACGTCCTATGAACGGCACTGGTGGATATAAACGCAGCGATTCTTTGATGACACATTCCATATACTTCAAATCACTTAATTTGGCCGGCGTAAAGGGCTCGACAGATTTCTCTCCAAAAATCGCATGTATTTCATCCAGAAGTTTTTGCTGCACTTCAGGATGTCGCGACACGAGATATAGAGTAAAACTTAGTGCTGTAGTTGTGGTATCATGTCCGGCAGACATAAAGGTATCAACTTCTTCCCGAATATCTTCATCGGACATTGGATTACCATCTATGGTTGCCTGCAACAGCAAATCCAAAAGGGCCTTGTGTTTTCGAATGCCAATATTGTCGGGATCATAATTTTCCATGTTAATGTCCGATTTTATATATTTCTCTAGATCTCGTCGACGTTTCTCAATAACGTTTCTGGTGAATTTGTGCATTGTCGTTATGAGTTTAGTTTGTCTCAATTTCTTGAGTGGACACAAAATGGAAAATAGCCATTCATCGTGTAAATAGGCTCGCACCAAACGCCACGTAATAAGACCTGACATTCTGAAATAAAAAAAAATATATATTTTAATTGCCATGCTCTCCCACATGTGTTGTTTTTTTACACTTACTCTCTTACTGCCATGGTGTATGGCATTGTCTTGTCCGTTTGAGCATTTACGTCCACTCCCATTGCCGTTTCCGTTATTATATCCAAGGCAGCCGAACAAATATAGGGCATAACATCGAAAGCGGTTTTGCCATCGGCCCTCTCAGCCAAACAGTCCATAAGTACTGAGGTTTGTCGATCGAAAACTTCCAAAAATTTCTCCAATATTGAAAAATGAAATGCTGGAGTTATGATTTTACGTCGCGTGTACCACTTTTTCTCCCCGCTTAATAGAAGACCCTCGCCCACCCATGGTTTTATGATGTTATATAATCTAATTTTTCGTGTTTGTGTGGGATGCGATAAGATTTGCTCCATAAAATCGGCATTTGATGTTAATATAAACAGCTTGTCTAATATCCATACTTTTATGGTGTGGCCGTACAATTCATACATCTCGAAAGATTTTGATATTAAACCTAGAAAAATACACAATCAGCATGTTTATACTTCCACTATTATGTCAGGCTTGATTATGTTTTTGGCTGATATCTGTGCTTGACAGACACTGCCGAACAAAGTTTGCTACAAAATTTAATTTCCTTCAAAATTAAAAGAAATTAAGCACCATCTATGAAGATGGAGCTAAGAAAAAATGCTTGTATCGACATTTTTCAAGTTTAGATCGAGAGTTTACCCAAATTGGGAGAATGTTGCCAAATCCCCTCGCAGTACATACAATCAGCGAATATCATTATGCAAGGGCTTTAAAGAAAAGGTGGATCCAATTTTTTGACAAGTAACGTTTATTTAGAAATCGAAATACTTAAATATGGCAAATTTGAGTGGAAATATGATTAGAATAACAAAATACTTAAAACAGGATTTTAACCTTATATAGGAGTCTAAGAACTCGCAACCCTTAGAGGTTTTTATACTACAGACTGAGCACTCTTAAATACACTAAGAATTTTCCTATTGATGACTTGCTTAAAAGATAACATTTTTCACCAAAATAATACTCGTATTGTTATCAGCAATGTTGCCAAAGATTCGATAGACCGAAAATGTAAAGAGGAGGATAATACCCTCCATCAGTGTGAAAGAACTTGAACATTTCCCAAAAAAAAAAAAAAATCCAAAGAAAAATACCACTCAAAGGAAAATCGTTATATGGGGGCTATACGAAGACGTGGTCCTGGTCATACGCATTTTTTGTCATAGGCTGTAGTACCCATTACGAACTTAAAATACGAAATCTTGGGAGGTATCGTCATATGCGGGCAATACGAAGACGTGGACCTGCGTCTTCGTGGGAGGCAATTTTTTTTTCATAGGCTGTAGTACCCATTACGAACTTAAAATACGAAATCTTGGGAGGTATCGTCATATGCGGGCAATACGAAGACGTGGACCTGCGTCTTCGTGGGAGGCAATTTTTTGTCATAGGCTGTAGTACCCATTACGAACTTAAGATACGAAATTTGAAAAAGGTCGCTAAAATCATCAAAATATCGAATCTTGAGAGGTATCGTCATATGGGGCCCATACGAAGACATGTACCTGCATACACAATTTTTTGTCATAGGCTATATTACGAACTTAAAATACGAAATTTGAAACAATCCCTGTCAAAAAGGTCGCTATAATCAACACAATACCGAATCTTGGGAGGTATCGTCATATGGGGGCCATACGAAGACATGTACCTGAATACGCATTTTTTGAATACGAAATTTGAAACAATCCCTTTCAAAAATCATAAAATTACCAAATATCAGGAGTACTGTTATGTGGGGGATATACGATATCGTAGATCTATATAGACAATTCTCTTTCAGGGCGTAAGGTACTCAGAAGAAACTCCTTGTGTGAATTTGTAGGCAATTCCCTTGAAAAATGTGGCTATAACCATCAAAATACTGAATTAAAGGGGAGGGTGTCGTTTTATGGCAGCTATTTGAAAACGAGGACCTGCATGCGCAATTTTTTGTCATAGGCTGTAGTACACATTACGAACTTTAAATACCGAATTTGAAACAATTCCGGTGAATAATGTCGCTACAATCATAAAAATGCATATTTTCGGGGATATCTTTAAATGGGGGCTATGGGATATCGTGGACCTATGTAGATATTTCTCTTTCAGGGGGTAAGGTACTCAGAAGAAACTCCTGGTATGAATTTTTGGACAATTTTCTTGAAAAATGTGGCTACAATCATCAAAATACTGAATTAAAGGGGAGGGTGTCGTTATATGGGGGCTATTTGAAAACGACTACCTGCATGCCCAATATTTTGTCATAGGCTGTAGTACACTTTAACTTTAAAACAATTCCACAACTCCTGGAAAATTGGATACAATCATCAAAATGCCAAATATACCCGTTATATGGATTTTTCGATTTTCCGATAATTTCCTTGAAATATATGGCTAAAATCATCGAAATACAGAATATCGTGGGCCTATATATACGTTGTTAGCCCTAAAATTTTTATTTCGATGATTTACAAAAGGAATGACGAACTTTATATATCACATTGAAGATGGGGGAACTTTTTTCCTTTTTTCTTTGCGATGTAAACTTTGAAACAGCTGCTACACGTGTCTTCTATTTTCAGCTCTACTTTCATAGACTACAGAGTTTTTCCTGTTATTGTTATAAAATTATTCATAACTTTGACCTTTGTCCCTCACTGGTGTTCGTCATGAGGTCGATAAAAATGTTACGCGGTATGACGTAGGTTACTAAGCTTTTGGAAAAACTTGTCTTATACTCTCGAGTAGTATGTAACTGAATAGCAGTCATATCGAATCGTACCTATGGTGGTTCATATCACATAATATATATTTATTATCATTATGTAAAAAATAAATAATATATAGAAATATATTTTTTTTCATCTATCACATGCACCGGCGGGGTTTATATGAACGAGGTCGGACCGAATCACCAATTGAGTCAATCGATTAACTGATTTTCCTAGGATATAAAAGGGGATATGTTTGTAGGTGCATTAAACATATGTTTGTTGGCGTTTTATGAATAACAAATTAACTGATCTTTGTCGGCTGGTAGTTTGATTAACCTTTATGGTAAAAGTGTATGCCACACATACTATTTTTATAACAAATGTTCAAAGATCTCAATTATAAAATTATACGCGGAAATGTTTAATTTCTTAGTAGTCAACAAATCATTTATTACTTAGCTTTTTCTATATTTTATTACGTTTATCTTACGTTTGGGCGTTAGAGTAGTAGCTTCACCCACACAACCCAATATGGGATAACAAAATGGACCGGGAATACGATCGGTAAGTTTGCGGCGATATTTTGTAGAGATGTGAATTTGTAATGCCCATACACAAATCGCTATGAAAAGCACAAGTAAAACTATCGCGAAGCACACCATTTCATTGGCGAATGAAAACTGACCCGTCAGAGTAATTTCGCAAAGTGTATATACATATTTTCCGCTGCGATATAGAAGAAACAAGTAAAAAAAGCTGTAAGTTCAGTCGGGCCGAACTTTTAATACCCTCCACCATTTTCAACGAATTTGGAAATTAAAAAAAAAAAAAAAACTAAATAAAATCCGTTAAAAATTCTGTTAAAATATATCCGTAATATTAGGGTCTAGACGAAAACTTTGTTCATAAGACATTACAATATTCAAATACGAAACTAGAAAAAAATCGGTAAATAAAGCAGCTAAAATTATAAAGAGAAGAGAATTTTAGCAAATTATGAAGAGAAGAAGAAGGGAGAAGACCCGGACCTGCATAGACAATTTTGTTTCACGGGCTGTAGTATTAGTATTAGGAACTTCAAATACGAAATTTCAAACAATTTCGATTTATGTTATCGTCAAAATACCAAATATAGGGAGGTATTCATAAATGGGGCCTACACGAAGACCTGGACCTGCATAGACCACTTTCGGTCATAGACTGTAGTTCCCATCACGAATTTTAAAAAAACTCCAGTGAATAATGTTCCTAAAATAGTTAAAATAATCCGGGGATATATTTGAATGTGGGCTATACGATATCGTGGACCCATATAGATATTTCTCTTCCAGAGAATAAAGTGCTTAGGAATAGCTTCTAGTGTGGATTTTTAGACGATTCCTTTAAAAAACGTAGCTGAAATCATCAAAATACCAAATATAGAGAGGTACCGTTATATGGGGGATATACGATATATGGACCTATAGACTATACAAATCCAGGGGGAAAAGTACTCAGAAGGAACTTTTTTTGTAGATTTTCAAACAATTTCATTGAAAAATTTGTCTAAAATCATCAAAATACCAAACATCAAGGGGTGTCGTAACATGGAGGCTATACGATATCGTGGACCCATAGCCCATCTTCGAACATGACCTGCCTAAACACAAAAGACTGATCTGTACCAAATTTTAGCTTCCTATCTTCTTTCGTTTTATCCCTAACGTTATTACAACAGACGGACTGGCGGACGGAGTTATGGCCATTGTAAAGTATGACATTTTTCCTCCTTTAAAAATGATCACAAATTTTAGCTAAAAACTCCGAAATGTGAATATTCAAGGAGTTATGGCCACTTTAAAGTATGCTATTTTTGTTCCTTTAAAAAATGATCACAAATTATAGCTAAAAACCCCGAAATGTCAATATTCAAGGAGTTATGGCCATTTTAAAGTATGCTATTTTTCTTCCTTTAAAAAATGATAACAAATTATAGCTAAAAACCTCGAAATGTCAATATTCAAGGAGTTATGGCCATTTTAAAGTATGCTATTTTTCTTCCTTTAAAAAATTATCACAAATTATAGCTAAAAACCCCGAAATGTCAATATTCAAGGAGTTATGGCCATTTTAAAGTGTGCTATTTTTCCTCCATTAACAAATTATAAAAATTATAGCTAAAAATCTCGAAATGTCAATATTTAAGGAGTTATGGCCATTTTAAAGTATGCTATTTTTCTTCCTTTAAAAAGTGATCACAAATTATTGCTAAAAACTCTGAAATGTCAATATTCAAGGAGTTATGGCCATTTTAAAGTATGCTATTTTTGTTCCTTTAAAAAATGATCACAAATTATAGCTAAAAACCCCGAAATGTCAATATTTAAGGAGTTATGGCCATTTTAAAGTATGCTATTTTTCCTCCTTTGAGAAATGATCACAAATTATAGCTAAACACCCCGAAATGTCAATATTTAAGGAGTTATGGCTATTTTTCCTCCATTAACAAATTATAATAAATTATAGCTAAAAATCTCGAAATGTCAATATTTAAGGAGTTATGGCCATTTTAAAGTATGCTATTTTTCTTCCTTTAAAAAGTGATCACAAATTATAGCTAAAAACTCTGAAATGTCAATATTCAAGGAGTTATGGCCATTTTAAAGTATGCTATTTTTCCTAATTTAAAAAATGATCACAAATTATAGCTAAAAACCCCGAAATGTCAATATTGAAGGAGTTATGGCCATTTTAAAGTATTCTATTTTACCTCCTTTAAAAAATAATAACAAATTATCGCTAAAAACCCCGAAATGTCAATATTTAAGGAGTTATGGCTATTTTTCCTCCATTAACAAATTATAATAAATTGTAGCTAAAAATCTCGAAATGTCAATATTTAAGGAGTTATGGCCATTTTAAAGTATGCTATTTTTCTTCCTTTAAAAAGTGATCACAAATTATAGCTTAAAACCCCGAAATGTCAATATTCAAGGAGTTATGGCCATTTTAAAGTATGCTATTTTTGTTCCTTTAAAAAATGATCACAAATTATAGCTAAAAATCCCGAAATGTCAATATTCAAGGAGTTATGGCCATTTTAAAGTATGCTATTTTTCCTCCTTTAAAAAAATATCACAAATTATAGCTAAAAATCTCGAAATGTCAATATTTAAGGAGTTATAGTAATTTTAAAGTATGCTATTTTCCTCCTTTAAAAAATTATCACAAATTGTAGATAAAAACCCCTAAATATCAATATTGAAGGAGTTATGGCCATTTTAAAGTAAGCTATTTTTCCTCCTTTAAAAAATGATCACAAATTATAGCTAAAAACCCGAAATGTCAATATTTAAGGAATTATGGCCATTTTAAAGTATGCTATTTTTGTTCCTTTAAGAAAAGATCACAAATTATAGCTAAAAACCTCGAAATGTCAATATTCAAGGAGTTATGGCCATTTTAAAGTATGCTATTTTTCCTCCTTTACAAAATGATCACAAATTATAGCTAAAAACCCCGAAATGTCAATATTTAAGGAGTTATGGCCATTTTAAGGTATGCTATTTTTCCTCCTTTAAAAATGATCACAAATTATAGCTAAAAACCCCGAAATGTCAATATTTAAGGAGTTATGACCATTTTAAGGTATGCTATATTTAATAGTGATCACAAATTATAGGTAAAAGCCCCGAAATGTCAATATTTAAGGAGTTACGACCATTTTAAAGTATGCTATTTTTCCTCCTTTAAAAAATGATCACAAATTATAGCTAAAAACCCCGAAATGTCAATATTTAAGGAGTTATGACCATTTTAAGGTATGCTATTTTTAATAATGATCACAAATTATAGCTAAAAACCCCGAAATGTCAATATTTAAGGAGTTATGACCATTTTAAGGTATGCTATATTTAATAGTGATCACAAATTATAGCTAAAAGCTCCGAAATGTCAATATTTAAGGAGTTACGACCATTTTAAAGTATGCTATTATGTGCACCAATTGGCCAATATCTGTCCAGAAGTCCTGAATTTTTTTAAATCCGACAGAATTCAATCTAGAAGGAAGTAGATCGAGTTCGGAGAAAATCAGTTCCGTTATAGCTATAGCTATTATTCAGTCTAGAAGCAAATTTCATGAAAAATCGATTCAGATATAGCAATAGCTCCCACATAGATTCTTAATCCAATTTCAGGTTTATTGTGCAAATAATGGATATCAATCCAGAAGTCCTAAATTTAGATACATCCGACCGAATCCAGTCTAGAAGCTGTATATAATATAGGTCAGATATAGCTATAGCTCCTTTATATATGTTTCATCCGATTTGGTGTTTAAGTCCCTCACATGCATTCGACAACAGTGATAATTGGTACCTAATAACTTACAGAGCTCGGAAATACCTTTGCCAAATGTTATCGAAAAAAGCTAAGATTTGGATACAGCTCCCATATATATCTTCTACCGATTTCGGGTATAATGGAGTGCATTTTGGGATGTACGTTTCATTTTGTGCAACTCGGATCCGATATACATTTTTTAATATAATCTTTCTCGAAGTGATATCATGCTCTCCAGAACAATGTTATTTATTATAATATTATTATAAAAGATAAACATGTCTCCGTCAAATTAAGTGAAAATCGATTCAGAGTTGGATTAGTTCCCTTTGAAACCAAATTATATCTGCTCTAAAACCAAATGTTGACAGGTGGTATGATCTATCTCAATTAAACTCTTTTGTTACGGGAGCTCTACTAAATATGCATAGTGTTGTAGGGTATTATATGGTTGGGGCCTCCTGACATTTGACTTTTCCTTACTAAATTCGCATTTTAAACCTCTTCTAAATGATTTAGTCGATTACAGATGCAATTGTTGACTCGATTACATGATTTATTGTGAAAGCATGCCCTAAAATCATTGGATTTTATATTTCCATTTTTCACATTAGCGGCGCCATCTACCGAAAAGTAACAACAATAAGATTTCCATTCACATAACTCTTGTGAGAAAGTTATGAACTGCTGCCCAGATAGGGTTGTCTCTGCTCTCTGTGAGTACAGCACATTCATCCACCCATTCACAATGGTGTGCCTTAGTGTATACCATTGCCGTTGGGCTCCCTCCCTTGATTTCTCTGAGAACAGTTTCGCAGCTGTTTCATGATTCACAATACCGACAAACACAATTTGACATGTTGCAATCCGGCAATTGTTTTGCATTCGAGTTGAGTTGCAGTTGTGTTTGTCATTCGTTTGTTTTGTAATTTAATTTTGCGGTAGTCATTGAATATCGAGTGTGTGTTGTTTACTCATAAGTTTATATTTAAACAAAGAAATCAACAGGCCAGTGTAAAAATAAATTAATAAATTCTGTAAGAATTTGAAATAAAGTGAAAACAAATAAATTGGGAAAAATTCTAATTAGAGGCCGATAAAAGATAATAACCGAGAAGAAGAAGACGAGACTCAAAACAAGAACAAAAAGAGGCAAAAACACCGGTTCAGCAGAGTAGGCAAATGAAACAACAAAACAAAAAAATAACATAGACGACAAGCATCACATCCATCAGTCGGACAGACAACCAGCCAGCCAGTTAGACAAAGTGCAAGCAAGTCTGAGCAAATGCCGTCTGTAAATGTAAAATAGCAGCAAAGTGTAATACAAAACAACAAAGAGGCCGGTCGTGTAACAAAGTGAAGAGAAAAGTGCATTGCACCAAACAAATAAACGGACGGACGGACAGAGACGTTCAGTTGAGAAACGTGCAAAACGTGGTGGTGTCAGTGCTGCTGTTGTTCTGCCTTTGTGTGATTATTTTACATTCTTCGTCTGGTTCGCCTGGTGCGTGTTGTTAAATGATTCATAAACAAATTACAATCGAACGAAAAACCAATCAGATTTGTTTCTTCTATTTTTGCCATTGAGTGCGGTTTGTGTTTTGTGGTGGCATCGTTAAATGCAATTAAGCAGATATTCGCAGAGAATTTGCAATAAATTTTTACAGTATTAAAATAAACATCCGCCAAATAGAATAAACACAACAACAAAAAGTAAACAAAAATAAAAGTGGTGGATATCGTGTTTTGGTTTGCCGACTCGTCTGTCTCTTTGTTTGTGTGTTTTGCTTTTGCATAGAGAAGCTCCTGTGATTCTCTGTGTGAGTGACAATAACATTTAAGAGAATTTAAATCGAAGAGAGTGTGTGGTGAAATTTGAAGAGACGTGTTACAGTGTTTCGATTGTGTTCTAAGGTAAGTAAACTTAATATTTTTTTTTAAAAATATATACTTTATTATATCAATAATTCTGAACGTTTTATGAAATTTTCAAATACCAGTTACAGTAGTGTCTTTTCACTCCATTGGTTACTCATCAAAATAATCACTTAAAACCAGAAAAAAAATCTCGTTCCAATCAAATATCTCTTTGTTTATTTAAATCAAGAACAAAACAGTGTTAAGTTATAAGTTATACAAATATTTTTTATCCATTTGCTTTATAAATTGTTTGGCAAACATTCATGTTTAAAAACAATTCAATGGAATCTTAAAATATAAAGAAATACTGAATATTAATTTTCTCTTAAATCATCTCTTTTTCGGCTCTAGAACACGGTTTTGAACAGGGCTGCTTAAAACCCTATATAACCCTATAGGCATTCATTCATTACCAGTGTAAAATTCAAAGTTGATTTGCAGATTTCCGTCTTTAGTTTTCATTCCGTCGAATTAAACATTTTAGAAACAGAAAAGTATACACATATACTTTCAGCGTGAAATTCTGAGCTAAGACTTTGCATAGAGTTGCCTTTTGTCTGATGGCAGGTCAAGTTCGAAGATGAGTTATATCGGCCTAAGTTTCCGTATAGCAATAATATAATTGTACCCCCCAGAATATTCGTTAATTTGGCGATATTAGCCACACTTTCTAACGGAACAGTTTAAAATTCGTATTTGGAGTTTATAATGGGTTCTACCCCCTGTAGTAAAATATTGTCTATATAGATCAGCGGTGCTCAAGAAGGAATATCTCTTTTCACTCAAATTTATCTTTGCTTATTTAAATCAAGAACAAAACAGTGTTAAGTCATTATTTATACAAATATTTTTTATCCATTTGCTTTATAAATTATTTTGGCAAACATCCGTGTTTAAAAACATGTAAATAGAACCGTAAAATATAAAGAAAAAAGGAATTTTAATTTTCTCTTAAATTATCTCTTTTTTCTGTTCATGTTCTAGAACACTGTTTTGAGCACCGCTGATATAGATCCACATTTTCGTATAGCCCCCACATAATTCGTTATTTTGAATATTTTTTGGAACAGTTATTTAAAAAAATCATGTAGCCCTCATATTCCGTATTTTGACGATTTTAGCCTCTGTTTTTAGCGGAATAGCTTAAAATATTCGATATTCAATGTTCTTATGATTTCAGTCATATTTGCAAACGTAAGCGTTTCAAATTTAGTATTTGTTGTTCGCAGAGCATACCAGCCATTGTAGTAGAAAATTGTTTATGTAGGTCCACGTTTTAGTACCGCCCACATATAACGGTACTTCCCGACATTCGATTTTTTGACGATATTAGCCACATTTTTTAAAGAAAATACTTGTTTTCATTTCTTAATTTGTTCCACTCCTGTGGCAGAACAATTACTATTACTCCTATCCCTCCTATATTAATAATTTTAGCCGCATCCTAGAATACAGGAATTTCGGCATTAACAGATATATCTTTACATGAGTTACTTTATAAATGATGGATCTTATACAATTTTTGGACCGACGAACTTAACTGGTTTTCTGACTAGTTTTTAGTATCACGCGTTCGGTCGATTTTATGTATCTTCACATGTGTACCTTTTTTATATCCACCTTGGAAAGGAGGGTATATTAAATTTGTTATTCAGGTTTGTAACATCCCTAAATATTCGTCATAGACCACATAAAGTTTATCTATTTATGATCAACATAAAATTCTAAGTCGATTTAACGATATCCGTCTGTCTGTCTGCTGTTGAAATCATGATCGTTCGCATATTAGTTTGTATTGTGCCTAGGATGGTTGTTATTGAAAATGAGATATATCGGTCCTCGTTTTGGGATAGCCCCCATATATGAGTACTTCCGGATATTTGGTATTTTGATGGTTTCAGTCACATTGTTCCACAGATTTGTCTAAAAATTGGTATTTTTAGGTCATAATGGGTTCTAGCTCGTGTGACAAAACATTGTATGTATAGGTCCACGTTTTGGTATAACCCCCGTAAAACGGTACCTCCCAATATTCAGTATTTTGATGATTTTTGCCACATTTTTTTCACGGATTTGTCTAAAAATTGGTATTTGTAGGATATAAGAGGTTCTAACTTGTGTAGCGAAACATTGTATGTATAGGTCCACGTTTTGGAATAGACCCCCCCATATAACTATACCTCCCTACCTATTCGGTATTTTGATAATTTTTTCACGGATTTGTCTAAAAATTTGAATTTATGGGTCATAATGGGATCTAGCTCCGGTGGCGAGACATTGTGTGTATAGGTCCACGTTGTTGTACAGCCCCCATGTAACGGTACCTTTCCATATTCGGTATTTTGATGGTTTTAGCCACATATTTCACGGATTTGTCTAAAAATTTATATTTGTAGTTCGCTATAGATTCCAAGTTCGGTGACAGGACATTGGTTCTATAGGTCCACGTTTTCGTGTAGCCCCCATACAACGGTACCTCACGATATTCGGTATTTTCTGGTTTTAGCCACATTTTTCTACGGATTTATGTAAAAATTGTTGTCTAATATTGCCCAAATGGGATGAAATTTGGCACTTACGACCGAATTGAGTCTAGAAGCTAGTAGGTCAAATTTGGTGAAGATCGGTTCAAATACAGCTATAGTTCCACATATATTGTTCATCTGATTTGTTATATTTGTTACCCACAACCAAAATATGCACTCCGTAACAACGATATTCAGGGAAATATATGAAATACAGCTCAGAAATATCTTTGCCAAATTTTATCAAGATCGGTTCAGATTTTGATATAGCTTCCATATATATCAAATGGACAATACAAGTCCGAATTTAAAAGATACTAATGCTCCGGCATATTTATTTTTTTCAACTTTAAATTATAATTATAATCATAGCGTGTATGATTGAATTCTCCCATAAAAACTTTCAATTGCTATGCGCAGCTCTACTAAATTTGCAAAGTGGTGTAGGATATCATAAAGTCGGTCCGTACTTTAAGGCTTTCTTTATTGGTTATGATTGAAATATCTTCTTAATCGCATTTAATTACTCTTAATGTGAGGAAATGTGTGATCCTGCAGTTCAAAAAATTAATAATTCGATTCGGCTCTAATCTTTTACGGATTCCTGTAGCATTTCTAAATGACCCCCATTCCGTAATTTGCCCCTTTATTATTTTAGTGAAATATTGCTCAAAATCTCAATTCCCTTTGATTATCTAAGCCATATGACTACATAAAACTTCATGTACTTTCATTTCGATTTTATCCCTTTTAAAAATCGATATTATTATTATTTTCCTCCTTTTCTTTATATTTCAATCAGAAGGATGATGATAACAATTTAATGTATCATTTGTTGAATTCTATGTATGTTTTGCATGTGTAAGAATAAATCTTCAATTTCTCTATTGGATATCCTCTTGTTTTTATAGCTTAAGGTCTTTATTATTATTGTTGTTGCTACTGATGTTGTTGCTGTAGTTGTTGTTGTTGATAGAATTTACTTTATTTTTTATGGATTTATTGTTTGAGATGGCTTTTAGAAAATTGAACATGCATTGATTTCAAAACAAATTCAATTCTAAACAGAAAGTGATTGATATACAAATGTGAAAACAAATCCTTTAGGAATAAAGCACACACACGCTCAAACAGAGAGATACACCCGGTCATGCAAATGCTGAAATCACATAATCTAAAAAGATTTCTATACACATTTGTTGAATATTTTCAATAAACGAATGTTTTGTAGTTAAAATTATTGCAATTGAAGAGTACATGGTGAAGAATTTAAGAAATTTTAAAATTTTTTTAGAAAACAAGTAAAAAAGCAACTAAGTTTGGTAGGATCGAACTTATAATACCCTCTACCATTTGGAAGGAACTTGCAAAATTTCAAAAATTCTGGAATGGCCTGTGAAATTATTAAAATGTTGAATATCGGATGGTACAATCATATAGGGGCTATACAAAAGGTAGACCTGTATGTCAGAGAAGGCAGTGCTTATTGTAAATTCCAAATACCAATTTTGAGATAATTTCGTTAGAAAATATTTATAAGGGGAGACCTAGATAATTTTCTGTCGTTGGAAGAGGTACCCATTGCGAACTCAAAATATCAAATTTGAAACAATTCCGTTGAAAACTCTGACAGAAATCATCAAAATACCAAATATCGTTTGGTACAATTATTTGGGGGATATACTAAAATGTGGGTCTATGTAGATATTTTTTTTTATCAGAGAAGGTAATAGGTACTGACAGCGCCAAATAGCAACTTTAACAAAATGCCGGTACCGAATTTCGCGATATACGGTTATATTGGTCTATAACAAAACGTTGACTTATGTGTACAGTCTTGATGGGTTGGCATGTGATATGGATAAAGAAATTGGTACTAAAAATATACGAAAAGTACAAAAATGTACTTAACATTAAATACTTTGTATAGGACAAACGGAATGACCTAGAATTCTGAAATTTGGAATGACAGTTAATGGTAAAGTGCAGGATATATGTATGAAAGGATTTTTGAAAACCCGAACTTTAAGGTTACGAAAAGTTCTAAAATAATACTAAATTTCTATAATGGTACTCTTGGTATTATATGAACGGATAGAGTTGAAAGGTTGGTACGAGAATCAATTTTGGAAAATAAGTTTGATGTATGAAGGTAGTTTTGAAAATGTGTAATTTTGGTATTTAGGTTACTGATGGTATCTGTTTTAGATATTTAGCGTAAGTTTGAATATGCGTCCTATATTTGCACGAAAAGTACTAAATGGTACTAAATGTGATATTGAGTCAAGGTATAGGGCTGAAGTTTGATATTGAGATCTCTGTTGGTATGGAGGAAGTTTCGGAAATGTGTACTATCATTGTACGAAAAGTACTAAATTGTACTGTATTTGGTATTGGGTGAAGGATTGGATTGATATATGTCCTACATGAACTGAAATCCTGAATGGCGAAGGAATGGAACTGAGATCC